ACCGGGACTCTTATCTCATCACTGCATTTTTTTCCACTGCCCTCTATTCCCTCCTCTTATTCTTTATCATCCCACAGGAATCAAAAGCTCCACTGCCTGCCAATGTGATTGTTGCTTCACTAGTTTTGAGTCAGGTTTTCTCTTGGCAGCAAAGAAGAAGCAGCAGCAGCAGCAGCAGCAGCAGCAGCAGCAGCAGCACACAACACAGACACATTTTGCTTTTTTACAGTAAATACAGTAATTTACAAACAAACCGCAGGGACTTACTATTATCGAGTTACCATGGTTACACAGATCTTGCTATTCGTCACAAGGCCATGGGAGCGTACACAGGTAACCACGGCTCATAGGTGTGCATGTGTGTGTTTAAGGAGTGTAAAGAGGAGCAGTGGGAGGAGGAGGCTGTGCAACCTGCTTCTCTGGAGTCTCTAATTCCCAGAGTATTTTAACACTCTCACGTTGTTTATCCCGGCAGCAGACCCTTATCATCATCAAAGCCTGTAAGTGACACTCTCTGAGCATCAATGTTTGCTCCATCCTCCTCCTCTTTCCTCTCCTGCTTTCACATCGCCATGGTAACTGATTGCCTCATTCTCATCCAGCATCATTTTGTCAGAGAACACAAACACCTGTTGAAGTTGCCACTGTGTGTTTGCTCCCGTTTGTCCACCAGTATGTGGAGATTTGGAACTGTTTCTGCTGGCTGTACATGCTTTTCTTTTCTTTTTTTTTTCTCCATCTTTCTTTGGTCAAATTTACATTTTTAAAAGACTCCGGCCGATGAATAATTGATGACACAGGGTTTTTACCCTCCATCGACTCAGCAGTGCAAATTTGTTCAAGTCCAGGAACAGAAGTACCGACAGTTGCGGGTTAGCAGCTTGTGATTGTCCAAATGTCGAGGGTCAAGTTTGCCAAAATGCAGGACAGCTGCTATTGATACATACAAATGATGAGGGACATTTACAACACAACTATTCTGTCACAAAGCAAAACCACTGCTTGTAGAGATGGTTAAAATCTACTTACAGTTCTGCAACATTAACAATAACAAAGCTGGGTTCTTAATTAAAAATGGTAGGACCAGTCTTAAACTATTGTAAATTAGCATAATAATTATAAAATAAATAATTAAAAATATTTTGGCGTGTATGGCTCCGATGTATTGCCAGACTGCAACTACTACTTAACTAGGTACTGTTTACTGCTGTATACTGCTGCAGTAGAACACACACAGGGTTCAAATATGCAGTACTCAGTCTGATGGAACAGAACATGAGTTCACGTGAATTTTGTTTCCCAGTATTAGTATCTAACTATGTTGATCTATTTTCCAGGAAATCGTATGAGAAACATCTTCTTCATCTCCCTCCACTGTTGTAAACAAACACAGCACGTCTCTGTTCAGCCCCTCACTGTGAAACATTAGTTTCATTTTTCTGTTTTCACGTCTGTGACTCAGTTCATTTTTTTTTTTTTCTCTCCTCTGTGAAGATAAGTCCAAGGAATAAGTCCAAGCAAGAGGTGACTATAGGAAATTCATTTAATTCAATTAACTTCAAATAAAGATGATCAAATTAGCAGTGGTGTTCCAACATAAGAGTCTCCTAATGCTATACTGTACACCTGATACTGAGCATGGTTTTAAAGCTTTCCCCAATATCCAGATTGCATTTAGTGTTTAAATTTGATCTTAAAATCTAAACACTCCTTGTATGTCCTTTCACACACACTCCATCTCAAACTGACTTCTCTTTGTTTATTTAATATTTTGAAGAATTGTATATCTTAATACCCAGGCATGTACATTAGATTTACTTTTCATTTGACACGTGGTTTCTCACACGTGAATATAAAATAAATTCACTTACTACAGCAGTATTTGTCGACTGGAAGGACAAGCAGCTCTATAACTTATTAGTGATGATTTATACTGCAGTCACGTAGAGACCAAAGGTCTCCGGAGATGGTTCCTCACTGTGTGTGTGTGTGTGTGTGTGTGAGAGAGTAAAAGGCAGGAGCAGAGTTCAAAGCTACAAAAGACTTTCCTGTCAAAGCTGCTCCTTCACTACCTTCAACTATCGACATCATACAGTATATCTCTGATTGAATAAGAGGAGACAACACAGTGTGTGTGCAGCTTTCTCTACGTTCGTAGGTATTCACACAGTTTTTTATCACAATTCTTTTTCTGCAAATTAAACAAAAATCTAAGCGTAAATGTTATCACCAGGATTTGACCCCGGCAACCTGGGAAAATTTAGCGAGCCTCCTGTGGATTTTCACACTCTCTCTCTCTATCACACACACACACACTCAGCTTCCATCTCCTGCCTCACTTTTTCCTTCAGATTTATCCTTTGACATGCACAAACGATCCTTTCCCTCAGTCTGGGTTCCCTGGTTCTCCACTTTTACACTTCCACCCACACACCCATAGCTCTATAGCTCTTCACCTCCTCTCCACCTCTCTCTCTCTCTCTCTCTCTCTCTTGCTCACTCTCTTTAAGTTTTCCAAAGTTAACAACCTGACAGCTTGAGAAACGTGTGCACTCAGCTAACAGCTTCCTGTGAGTGAATACACATGTGCCGGCAGAGGAGGACGAGGTTTAGTCGCTAGCGTGCGAGAAACAAACCATAGGAGACATTTTTCCAACCTCAGTCTAATCAAACAGCCGGTGTGGAAACAATGTGATGCTTGCAGACAGTTTTGTGAGGCAACAGTTTATCATCGGAACCTTATGTCACTTCTGTCTCATTACATTTATTAATGTGAGAAAATCAGCATTTATTGCGGTCAGTATCCCGAGTCTGAAGTCTTCACACTCACAGGCAGCTGAGAACAGATTGTACAGACACAAACACACACACTAACACACACACACACACACACACACTATATTGATCTATTATTAAACGCTACAGTCCATCAGACTCTTTATCAGCCGGGGGAGTGAAAACACTCATGGCGGAAGTTCGTCAATTCCATTGAATCATCCGTCACTTTCCTTTACAACTGCAGCCTCATTCTGCCAGAGTTCAACATCAGAGTGAAACCTTGATGTTTAAGGAAATTTAAGACAGTGACAAGATTTAAAGTTAAATGGGACACCAGTGATTTTTAAAGAGATCAGAGTCAGAGTCAAAGACACGTATACAGGGATCCATACCTGCAGTGTGTTCTTTAAACAACATTACTGGTTGTAATGTTGAAATGTTGATGGCCCAAATGTCAGTCATTGATACAGTAAATGTCGGAGGCGACAGTAACAGTTACAGCTGTGCTCTGTTCATTTGGTGTTTCATACCTTAGTGTATGGACATTGAAATTAAGAATATCACTTCAGAAAACGCTGCAGTTTCAGCGTCTAGACGACTGAAAGAAGAAGAGATAGAAGGAGCAACTGGCACCTTAATCCGTTTGTCACGTATCTGTCACTGATGTTCGGAGCTTTTCTAGAGTAATTTGAACCAGTATTTAATACCAGTAAAACTGCAGACAAGAGCAAGATGATAGCGTCACTTCATGTCTGATGTTTTTGTCTTTGCTGTCCTTTAGAGACTTGAGAGCAGCCTCTCCTGCAGTCTGAGTGGAGCTCCGCACAGTCAACACTCTGCGATAATGCATAACTGGAGGAGCTGTGTGACTTTGAAATGTTCCAAAGTGATGAAGGAGAGTGGAAGGTGTGAGTGGATCACTCTGTCTGAGAGTTTGATTCTGATCCGTGCACACAGAGAAGTTTTTCTTTAAATCTGTCAGAGTAAAAATCACAGTTTTACTATTGCTATCACTTTATCTATTAGTCAGATGGTCCAGAGTGATGCACAGTGCAGACGAGAGGTCAACTAAGAAAAAGAAATGTCCCCACAAACTTACAACCGGAACAGTTCTCCAGTCCATTAAGGGCCACATACCCTTTGTATTACCCCCTTAATGGACTGAAACAAGTTTGAAATGACCATTTAAAATCATACATATGCTGAATTAAAGTAAAAAATCCCCACGTTGGGAACTGCAGTACATCATCAGTTACCACTGGGGATGAAGCTCTGACTTTAAGGTAAGAGTAGGAACCACTGTTCTAATTTTGGAAAAACAAAACAAAACATTGAATGCAACTGTAAACTGTAGATTTCAGCCCACGTTTCATACTTTTCCCACAATGACTAGGCCTGCTGTCTCTTTCCAAACACCACAGGTTTTTTGTGTGTTGTGCGTTTTAGTGAGCTGCATGTACACATGCTCCAAGACAGACAGTTTCTCGACAAAAGTCGAGGTCAAAATGCACAAAGCTGCAGAGACTAGCTGCACAGAAAAACAAACATGACCCTGGATTCCCATTGATTTTCTATGACAGTCTGTACAGAGAAAAACAACAGAACAATGCATGTGGCATTTCTGTTTTCAACTGACTCATTATGTTATTATATTATTTCTTATCGTTTATTCCCCTTTTTCACTGCTTTTATCTTTTCTTTTTGTCTGCCACTGCGGGTGTCAGCGAGCACTCATTGGCACAGGTTAAAAGCGGTGTCTAACAAAGATAACCTCACTCTGCAGGGGAGACAGGGTTTCTAAGATCCCATGTCATTCAGTTTTCCCCGAGGGCACACACACACACACACACACACACACAGAGACACTCTCTCTCCTCCATACCCTCTGCTCTCTCACCTCCCGGGTGGATCAGGATGATGACTGACTAGACTGACAATGCACCACTTTTTTACCAACTCACAGCGGAGGACTTTAGATCTTTGCTCAATTTTCCTGATGTCTGCAGTCTGACTTTGCATAACAGCAAACAGAGGATGGAAATGACTGGAGGAGAACATATTAAAAATCTCACTTTGAAACACAACAACTTGAACCGTTTCGTCCAGTAAAAGATGTGAGGAGAAAGGTTCACTGTACGAAGAAGAATCTTGTGGACTGAACATAAGAGACCTGGCTTTGAAAAGACAGTATTTGAAAAAAGCACAACACTTGAGATACTGAACTCAATCTACAGCAAAACATTTTTTTTTATTTGTGTAACACTAATTCACAAAACAGCTGCCCCCGAAGAACCTCACGTCAGTTAGCTACCGTCGACGAAACTCATGATGGCGCTGCTGAAATTAAAATGCACGGCCCGTGTGTGAAGAGCACTGAGAGGCTGCTTGGTATTACTGGTGGGTGTGTTTCAAGTAAACAGCGACAGGAAACAGTCCCAGGAGTTTATGGGGGTCAACCCCACTAATCAAGGCAGGTCACAACACTGTGCCAGTGAGAGCACTGCAGTGCTCATTCACTTGGACCTCATCCTCCTCTCTACCCTTTCTTTTGTTTCTCTCTGTGTACCTGTGCTTGGGGCTGTTCTTTTTTCATCTAGTTTCATCTGTTTTGCTAAAGTTTCCCCATTTGTACATTTCTTTAACTCATGTGTGTCGGACTGCTCATCAAACTGGGTCACACAGTGGAAAATGTGGTTAGTGTGCTCCTTGTACCTTTCAGCAGTGGTTCCCAGACGTCTTCTTGAACGCCCAAAACAGAATACAGTTCAGAGTTGACTGCGGTTCCCCTGTGACCCTGTAGAAGGATTAAGATGTAGAGGATCAATGACTGAAGATCATTAACCTGATCAGTTCTGTCCACTTAGTAGTGTGACCAGGTCCCAATCACGATAACAATAAAAGTGAAGAATCTTTTGACACTAACACATCAAATGACAACATAAAGAAAGACAAACCTCAGAGTGATTTTTTTGATCCAACTGACAACTGATGCTGCACTTTCTCTCCTCTTTGGGAACCTTCCATCATGTACTTTCTCTCTTGTTGGCACAAATTGACACAGCGTTGGACAAATCTGTGATTGATTGTGTAGTTAGACGTCAGTAAGTTGACAGCCGCCTTTACTTTACTCACCACGGCTGGATATAAGACAAGAAGCAAATATTTAACAGAAGAAGCAGATTAGAACACAGGGAACTGTATTAATTTGGTATTAAAAAAAAATACAAATACTATTCCACCTGATCACTCTTTAGCAACTTGGACATCATTCCTGTAAAAAAATAAATAAACAAGTTGATTTCACACTGTCCAGTTCGAAGCAGTCTCCTGTCTTAGTTCAAGGTTAGGACCAAACGTGGGTCAGTCACCGCCGGAGACCAAGTCATTTCATTCTTCAGACTTTCTCTGGACACGAGAGGCTGAACATCAGTGCACTGTCTGCAGAGCCCACTATCACTGTGGATGACAGCAGCCCACAGCAGTATAAAACGGCCAAAGCCACAACAGTCGTCCTGGGAGGCTGTGAAATTGACCCATTAATCTCTGCTGTATTACTCTTCCTCACGGCGGAAAGTTGACACCTCCCTCACTCTGACAAACCTGCAGGAACCCATCTGATAGCCCTGAAACTGGCTGTCTTTTCATCTGGCCCATCAATAACACAATATTGTCTCATTTTCCTGCATTCCCTCCACAGGTGGGAGAGATTTATCACCCTCTTGTTTGATATACTGATGGACCAACAACCGAACCACGTCTCTTATGAATGAGCTCCAAACACTGCAATATTGCTGTCAGGGTAAATACCTCCAAGTCACGGCCTTTTATTCATCAGGTGTTTTAAATACCCCCTCCCAGATGTTGAACTCTCTCCTCATCCTTTAACTCAGTCAAAACAATTACACAAAAACACAGGAAACATTTTGTCATTTCTACAACTTGCTACTTCCCTCAGGTACGTAGACCAATTCATAGACAAGGATCACATTTACTACCAGAACACAACTCCATATAACTTCATCCATTCCACACATATTTTAAACAATATCTTGAGTATACATTTTTTTTAAATTAATTTAGAGCAACGCGACTCACTTGCGTTCACTCGTTTGACCTCAATTTCCCCTTTCCACATTTAAAAGGAATTAACCTTCAAGCTAGAAGGAAAAACAGTTTTCAACTTCTCCGAAAGCCTTGACAAAACTCATGAAAATTCTTGCTCTGACTCCAGGCTGCCCTTCTCCTCTGGAATGTTTTTGTACAAACTGGGGAGTTCTGAAAATCTGAGAAGACCGACGCTGATCTTTCATCTTTTCTAATTAACATTCAAACTCTGCCTTCCCTCCCACTGTTCATTAATTGTCTCTCTTTGATCAAATAAATTTACTTTTATGCTGGGGATTAGCATCCAACATCCACTGACAAACAAGATGCACTGGACGTTTTGATTTCTGCAACTCTGGAATGGCTACGACTGTTGGCAGTTCCAAGAAGGGGAAAAAAAAAGATGCAAATACGGTTGGCAGCAGTCGCTGTGAGGAGCTGGTTAAAGCAGCTGTTTGCTCCAAAGGCTTTGTGGATTCACAAAGAGTAAAAATTTGCAAAACTAGAAAGTGGTTTTGGAGCCAGCTGAAGTAGTCGCCGATCAGACGGCTGTAATTATGTTGTAACAATGAGAAAATGCTGTAATTATAATGCAAATGTTTGGGGCGTGTTATGAGATGCGACTGAAGTAAATTACACCACAAACATCCGTGGAAAACTTTACTTTTGTGTTCATCCAAAAACAATTTCATAAAAAAAGGAAACAATTAAAAAGAAAACACACATCATTTCTTTGTGTTGAAATATTTTGTCTTTAATTCAGCTCGGGAAGATAAAAGAGTTTTTTTTTTTTTTTTTTTAAAAAAAAAAAAAAAAAAACACAAAAAAAAAAAAAAAAAAAATTTTTTTTTTTTTTTTTTTGCTGTTTTTTTTTTTTTTTTTTTTCTTTTTCGGTGTTTGTTTTGTTTCTTTTTTTTACAAACTAAATTATAATGGCAGCGTTAGTGCAGCAGAACCTGAACCTTTCTAAGTGATTATGCAGAGCGCTTTGTATACAGTGTTTGTGCACTTGCACACGTGGGACACACGTGGCAGCTGCGAGGCTAATTTGGACAGAAGCAATTAATTAGACGTTATTACCAGGAAAACAATGGAGCGCAGGCAGGGGGTTTAAAGATGGAGCGTCAAAGTGGTGAACCTGTCGCTGAACAATAGGCTGATATCCTCCCACTGCCTCCTGACTAATGCTCAATTACTATGTCACACCGAAAGACACGTCCTCATGCATGTTCACGTGCACACGCAAGTTGATTGCGGCTTTTTCGCTGGGCTTTTTGTCCGAACTTTAAACCCCGCCTGAGAGGCTGTGGAGATTTCTGTATTAAAGGTGTGTGTTTTTTTGAGCAGATGTTTTTATGATTAATAATGTACCTTAATGGCAGATGCTGCAGCTGCTGCTCACAAATTCTCACAAAAAGAAACAGATTCAAAGGGCGATTTTTAGATCCCTTCCACTCTGGGTTCGTGTTATATATTTCAGATCTCTATGAAACTCTCTCCAAACCTTCATTCTCTCCTTCTCTGAAGCAGCTTCATCCATGGCTACGATTCAACCGCCCCCTCACCCCCCACACCATGGACTTCCTTTTTCCTCACAGCCACTTCCTGAGCACAGCTAAGGCAGAGTTGAAGGTGAACTGTGCCTGGTGTGTTCCACGGTGAGCCAGCAGCAGGGAGCCCGCCTCAGGCCCGTGGCCGGCCGCCAGCAGCTCGGCAGCAGCCTTCTCCACGTCCCAACCTCCTTCCTGCTGGTGGGACAGCATGTGGGAGCTGAGCAGGGGATACAGTGCAGAGGAGACACAGCCAACTAGGAGTCCGGCGTCCAGCAGCAACGTCAGGAGCTCAGGATCACTGGAAGAAGCCGTTTCCTGGAGAGATGAGAGGAGAGGAGTCGCCAAAGACAAAAAAGTCAGGAGGACATTTTCCTTTGAGGATCACATGGCCTTTGTTTAACCACTGGCATAGACGTACTCCAGGAAGAAAACAGCCAAAGGTTGGGTGTTTTCTGCAGCCAGTGTCTGTTAAGGCAAGCAGCTGTCAGGCAGAAGATATAATCTTCAAGAACACCTGTGTGTCTGGTTGAAAACAAACTAAATATGGTCCTTGATTCAGGCCTGGAACATAAGAAGTCTGCCATAAATAATGTTCTAAATAATGGCAGGACTGGGAAGGAGCCCTAGTATTTACTTCAAGTATTACTTTACAGTATTAACTGTACGAATGCATCTGTCACTCCTGCAAATACTCTACAATACTTACAGCTCAAATACCCATACTTTCAAGACCTCCCTCCCACGCACAGGTCACAGGTAAATGAACGCTAACAATGGACCAGCATGAAAACACAGCAGTGGAAAAGAACATAAAATACTGGGACTTACAAAAAAAAACAACAACAACAACAACAGAGAAACAGCAAAGATGTAATAATTTCTTTCTTCTCTCTGCAGACCTCCACCTCTCCAGGTTGACATCCACCACACATACACTGCAACCGGCAGACATTTAAGCCTATGAAAAAAACCCTGCCGGACTTAAAATGACCAATAGAACTGCACAAAATCAGGTTCCTAGTCCCTCACTGACACCCACCTGCCAATCTGACCGCACATTCCCAGACACAAACAAATGGCTGTCCGAAAATCTTCCTATTGTGCACAGTCTTAACGTACTTCTCTGCTACTACTGAACTCCTTGACCAAAATCTCTCAGCTCTTCCTACCATTACTATACATCAGTCAACAGTAGTTGTAGATAATGGCAGCATAAGAGACTTCCCAGCCACAGTCTTAAGCTCTCAGTGACTGCAGCTTCTGTGCTGGTGGCTGTTTTTGTGAGCCTGTGATTACAGTGTTACAAGCTTGAAGGAACCAGATGAGGCCACACTGCTGGGTCACATCCAGTGTTTACACTGCGGTCACTACTATCCCCTCGGCATGTAGCCATATAATAAAAGAGAGGCACAATGAATGCCATTGTGGTTTGTACAGAATGCAGAGTACTCTCTCTCTCTCTGGCTCTCTGGGTCTCTCACCAGTTTGCTGTCCTTATTGTTGAACTTGTACTTACTCAAATAAGCACACAGATATTGTATACAGGCATAAACAGAGTTCCTGCTGGGGATATTTTCATACAGTAGCTGAGGCGGTTCAATTATAAATGTGGTGCCCGTGTCTTTTCTTCTGTAGCCGAGGACAGGAACAGAGCTGAATGGATGTCTTCCTCTCAATTCTGAAATCCCTCATCTCTGTCGGCCCCGCTCCATTTCTCCCTCTGGTCCAGGGACAATTTATGCTTCAAAACATGAAATCCTCTAAAAAGAAACACTTTACTTGAGATGATCAAACCTGAAAATCTTACACAAGGGTCGGCAGAGGTTCAGCCATTGTCTCTGACAATAACACCGTCTCAGTACAGAGCTGCTAATAACATTCAGTGCCTTTTGAAGTAATTTTCTAGCATGAGTGACCCAGAGGTGATTCATAGACTTAGTCAAAGTAGTGAAAAGATTTTCCACTGTAATGTAGAATTATGTGAGGAGAAAAGATGACATTAGGTTTCTGACAGTTGGTGCCCACAGATACAACACAGTGATGTCAGACTAATGATTTCATTTGTTTCTTACTGTCACAGGAATCATGGAAGACTCAGTCAAAGACAAAGGCCACAGAGACAAGTCAGACACACGGCAATGTCTATAGAACATGTTTTGATGAACGGGACAGTTCATGAAGATGAAGTGTCAGAGAAGAGAGAAAGGACCACCACCGTTTTACTAAAAGCATACAGAGCTACGAGCTACAGATAAATTGATTAGATTATTAAAATAAAATAGAAAACAGATTATTATTTTAAATGAGGGTAGGCACTACAGCTAACCACTACCCACTGCCCACTATGGCTAATAAAAAAGCCTTCTAATGTTACAGATGAGATCAAGCCCTGCTTCACCGAGTGAGGCACAGCTGACAGCAACATGTTGCTATCCCCACAACCGTATTTTTTGTTTTGTTTGTTTCTTTTAAATTTTAAATAAAAAAAAAGCTTCTTGCAGCTTATTGAATAAGCCTCTGGTTCTCCACACTTGTATGTTAAAAACACCTTCCTTAAAGTATCCGTTTGGCACGAGGCACATGACACTGAGGAACAAAAGTCTGTCTGAAGCTCAGTGTCAAAGAAAGATGATTTCTTTATGCATTCCTTTGTGTGGAGTTATCTCCTGGTTTAGCAGAATTGTGCTGTTAAAAACCCTGTTATTTTAATCATTGCATCGAGTCTCCAGCTGAAATGAGGTGTGATAAGAGTCTAGAGGGGAAAAAATATTTTCCCAATAGAGTACAGCAGCAGAATCCGACCAGGCAACAGAAGTGAATGTCTGAAAAGGCTGAGGTTATTTCTGCCAACACAATAATGAGAACAGCAGTGTTTCATTTAACTACAGCCAGAACTGATGCCCACATTTGGACCATTAGAGCTTCAGGATGTAAGAAAAACTAACCATTTACTGGAGATCTGAATATTAATTCAAACTCAGTCCACTCTTATTTATTTCCCTAATGATCTGCACGCCACATGGCTCTTCAGTAACTTTGTCATTTCAGTCTGACCGACGATCATTAGAAGTGATGGTCAAAGATTTAACAGAGCAAACTTCATGAAGTAAGACCAGGATTCAAACCAGCAAACTAAAATTTGTTATGCTGTCAGATCCCGAACCACAATCAATGCACATGATCTTAGAGAAGGGGTTATTCTAAGACCTCATTAAACAGGACCAGTAACGGCTACAGCCCACAGGTTACAGACGTGTTATGTCTGAATGGCACAAGGACAGCCAATCAGGAAGCCTGACAAGGTGGCGTTAAAAACAAGTCAGAAATTCTCCAATAAAATGTATCATGTCATGTTACCATTTGTCAGGGAAATTGAATTGCAGGTGTCAAAAAAGGCCTCACAAATCACACCTGCCTGAGCGAACACTACAAAAGAATATCGACGACCTGCACGTCAACAACCACCGTCATCTGGCTTCATAATGAGATAAAGAATCAAAAATATGCACAAAGTCCACAACTTAAACAATATTTATTTTTGTTCTATTCTGTGCCTCCTGTTCAGTAATGGATGTGAGAAAAGCCCAAGCAGACGTTCAGTTTTTCCTTCATGCAAACTGGACACAAGTGTGTGAACGTCCACCAGCCGGGCTTTTACTGTTTGAGGCTGTCAGGAGAGACAGCAGATTTGACTGGGCTGAAAATAGACATGGACGTTTGGCAGAGTGATGGAGGGGAATCTTGATGTCAGATCGCTGCAGAAAACCCCGTGTCCCCTCTACATCATGAACGCCTCTGTCGCATTCCAGTGCACAGACCTGCATCTGGTCGACAGAGGAATGTGAATGTATTAGAACTGCATTTTATAGCTCTAGTTGAGTTTGAAGGATTTCTTTTTGCTGCCATTTATGCTGCAATTACAAAATTACAGAGCTGAAGTGGCTGTTTATGTTGTAAGTCTTCATGACAGTGTGAGTAAAGGAATAATTTAGTTTTTTCAAGGAACACATTTACAACGTATAAAATGAGACAAAACAGTTTCTTAACAGTTTCTGAGCCGAGGACATCTATTATCGATATAAGTAGGACTGATGTTGATTACATCCACAGGATAAGACATTGTTGCCTCACAACATGTATGGAGTATACAAATGTCTTAGACTAAAACGCCTTGAGACATAATAGAAAATATTCTGGTTGCTCTACTAATTTCTGTTGTTTTCTGCAACCTGTCACTGGTT